TTTGTCCTGAGAAGTAAATGGCACGGCAGGATGAGCAAGCAGTTTGAAAATGTCAGCAATGGTTTTTCAGGAGCGACGTCTCGTTGTTGTTTCAACTTCGCCTGTCAGATGAATACAGATCACACGGTTCTGTGTGAAGCCTGAGAACTCCTGTTGTGTCAGAATGCTATTTAAAGTGTCAATAATCAGCCGCCTGTAAAGGTTCACCTGACGACCTCATTTCATAGAACACTCGCTATTTCATGGTTGTCTGGATGGGAACTCTAACATCGACTGCCTCCTCTGTCACTGTCACGACTTTGTTGTTTATTATCTGCTGAAGATCCTTCATCATCCCGTTTGTTCTCCACTCATTTGAATTGTCTATTCATCTTCTACCAATCATTCCTTCACAGCCAAGAAGAGTTCTCCAGTCCATCATTGGACCAAAATATACTGATAAAAAACAACACCAGGAATATTTGGTGATAAAAAATCCATACAGTAGAACAGCGATACAATATTGTGACACGAAATATTGTGATTTTTCAGTTGATATTTTCTTACACCCCTTTCTTACATTTCTTTTTTTATCTGGTAAAGACCTTTGTTGATCTTATCAAAAACATTCACTGCTCTTGCATCAAACTCTACACAACAATTTCTTCAGAAGCGTTATTGTCTTCGCACAAAAAAAAAATCAGTTTCTAATTTGTAGCTTTTTTGTTCACATTCTGTTACAGCTGTGCCCCCCCCTTCCTCCCCGTCGACCCCCCAACCTCCCCTTTGTTTGAAACTGCTGGTCTATATATCACCATTTTTTCCCTTCATTGCTTCCAAATGAAAAACCCCTTCACAGTACTGTACTGAACGAAGAGCGTTTTTGATTCTGCTGCCCCCCGACTGTGGTCTTGGCACGTCGGCCATCATTGTCTCGAAGCTATTGGTCAGTCGGCCTCGGCTGCAGCTGTGGCCGACGTCAAAGTCCTTCGCAGGAGGCGTCTCATTGGCTCACAGCAGATCAGGTATCTATTTGTGACCTTCTGATTGGCTCCTACCGTATCAGGTATCCCATACATCTCAGCCATCAGACGGGACATGCCATCCCAGCGGCAACTGGCGAGTGTTTGCTGTTACCATGGCAAAGTTCTGACGATTTGAAGCCAGACTCTGGCACTCCAACTTCTGTGGGCCTTGTTATCACCCCCCACCCATCCTCCTCAGACACACACACACACACACGCTGAGATAATTATAAAGCAGTAAACATTTGGGCAAACGAGGCTGATTTTCAGCTCATTGTTTGAAAAACATTTATGGGCTGTCAACCTACAAACAGGATGTTATGAAAATAATTTAAAGAACCATCACACAGGCTCTTATCATTTCCTTTCCAACTGTAGTCCATTCATCCTCCTGTATTTAGCTTTGTCACAACCATTAGGGGGCGGCATTGATTGAATAAATTCAAGGAAATGTAGGGGACTCATTACTGCTCTTCCTCTCTCTCTCTCTCTCTCTCTCTCTCTGCCTCTCTGTCACACACACACACATACACACACACACATACACACAAAGGGGGCACAGACATGGACATGATCAATTATGTGTCAAGCGTTCCTTCCTCAAAGAATGAATGGCTCAATGACTATAGGAAACCGACGCTCCATTGTCTCTTGACACTGAAGACTAAGTTCTCATGCAGTTCATTATGCCAGGAGGGGACGACTAGGAAGAGATCCAAAGAGACCATTAATCATCATATCCTTCAGCCAGGAAAAAAGGAAAAGAAAGGACTAAAATAACACACTGTAATCCTATACAGTCAGCCTTGGGGCTTTTCAAATGCTTCATATACCTGTGTATATATAAATCAGGGGACGGCTCACAATATTATTGTAGCTCAGTCGTTAAGACGAAATACTGCAAACCCACTGATGGTACCTGGAACCGATTTAATGACCTCTCCACAGACGACGTCACAGAAACGTCTCAGTTTGAACGTTGACTTCAGGTACAAAGACGAGTACAAAGACACGCAGCGCTGTGTAACGCACACATAAACAACTATCAAATTACACAACATGTAATCAACACGCTGTAGGAGCGACATAACTGAAACTTACTGGGAGTTATTTATAGTCCAGAAAGACAAATGATGTCAGTGAAGAAGAAAGATATTCACTTTATTTGAATTAATGAAAAAGCAGATATTTGCCATGAATAAAAAAAAATCCCTGAAAACTCGAGTATTATAGTATTAATATAAACCGGTTCAGACTGGTCTGGAGTTTCCTTTGATTTGATCAGATGTTTCATTGAAACCACAACAATAAAAAATTTCCAAATCAAACATCGCATCTTTAACCAAACTGGAACGGAAACCTGCTGATCTAGAACCTGCTGATCTAGAACCACATGATGGTTTGTTTTTGTTTTTTCTTTAGTTTCTCAAACACAACTGAAAGAACATTTAAAGGAGGTGGATTTCAGTCCTTAGACCAGACAAAGACGCAGGTTGTGACCTGGTGTCAAAGGTCATCCTACAGGACTCTACAGAGAAGGAATTCTCTGATCCAAACACCACCTAAGAAGAAGAAGAGAGGAGACAGATTTGGTATTTCTATAAATAAAGATTAGTACATTTCGTCGGTAGATTTCTATAAATAAAGATTAGTACATTTTGTCGGTAAAAAAAAAACAATCTAAATCCTTGAAAACATTCACCCAGGAACCAGAGGAACAGTCCAACACTGTCACGTCAGTTTCTCTCCTCACAGTTTCAGTATGACGAACAGGCCAAACTCCAAAGTCCGCTTCAATTTGGGCCGACGGCTCCAGGCTGGAGGAGGCGCTGGAGATGTGGGGGTCAACCCAATAACAGCCCTCGCCGCTCCGCTCCCTCCCTCCCTCCACGTCCCCATAAATGTTTTCCAAGTTCGGACAGAGCGCTGTGATTGGCCGCGGCTTCCTCTGTGGGCCGTTCCCACTCCTGCGCCGCGCTGGGCTCGGGTTACAGACGAGCTGGAGCTGCTGCACGCACAGGAGCGCCGTGACTTTTTCTTACGCCGGCGTGGAAATGTTGACGAGCGGATTTGGAGCCTGCTGAGGCTGCTGAGAGGCTCTGAGCTCACACTGGGACTTTAAAAAAAAAACAACAAAATTCTGTCTCCGTGCAGCTACAAACCTGCGAGGAGGACCGGGGGTGGAGAGAGAGAGAGAGAGAGGCAGAGAGCGAGAGAGAGAGACTGTGTTTACGAACCGGGCAGCAGCAGCAGCAGCAGCAGCGCAGCATGTCCGGGTCGGACTAAAGGCTGCCCTGCTTGGAGCGCGACAACACGCTGAGAGCCGGGAGGAATATTCCACAATAGAAACTCAATTCCTCTGCGACGTCGAATACCAGCAGCGGGAGGAGGAGTGAAAGATAAGACTGGAATGAAACGGACCTTCAGATTCCCAGCGTGCTGTGGATTCGTGGCTGACGGATGTATGTGGTCATCTGTGGGATAGACGCAGCGACAGGTACAGACGCAGCGGGGGAGCGGTGACAAAGACGCCGAGCAACGCAGTCCATCGGCAGCTGCATCGACTGGTTAGGTCTGTTCTACCTCTCGGGCTCACTGTAGATCTTATCAACGAATCGTACAAAAGCGAGGGGTTGGTGTTTTGTCTTAGCCGCGGGTCAACCCGGACACTTGACTCTCAGAAACCCACCACAAAACCAGGGTCTTCCCCCCGCGGGTCCGCCAAGGACGCGCGGCTCTGGGA